CGAGCTTTCCTCTGACTTCCGCGAGCTTTCCTCTGACTTCCGCACATGCGCACACGGTGGAGTGAGCACATCCTCCTCTCCAACACACATGCGCACAAATAAGTAATTAAATGTAACCAAAACACAAAAAGCTTTTAAAAATTGAGGTAGAAGCCCGGCAATGATGGCGCACGCCCTTTATCCCAGCACTCGGGAGGCAGAGGCAGGAGGATCTGAGTCAGAGGCCAGCCTGGGCTACAGAGTGAGTTTCATGACAGCCAAGGCTGCACAGAAAAACCCAGTCTCAGAAAAACAAAAAACAAACAGCAACAACAACAGAAAATTGCGATAGGAGCTGGAGAGATATCTCAGCAGTTAAGAGCACTTACTGCTCTTGCAGAGGGCCAGAGTTTGATTCCCAGCACATACAATAGGCAGCGAGCTCACAACTGCCTGGAACTCCAGTTCCAGGAGATCTGATGCCTTCTTCTGGTCTCCACAGACACACACACACACACACACACACACACACACACACACACACACACATACACAAATGAGTCTTTTAATTTTGGGGGATATCTTAGGTGAAAGTTCACAGGAGCCCATTTTTTCACAGTTTTTTTCTATTTCATTTGAAAACTTAGTATATGAACTCTGGGTGCACGGAAAGGTATAACTTTTTTTAATAAGTAAAACACACACACGCATACACACACAAAATTATATCCTGACAATAAATGAATAGAAAATAAAGTGCATCCATAAATCCTGGGTAGATGATGATGGCGTCCATGACCCCTCAGGAGAAGCTCTTCGGTTCACACAATGCAAACCCGGCTCCATGAGACCCGCCCATCGGGACGAACAATTTGCATGGATGCTAAGCTTTCCTGTGACTGAAGCCGGGCTGGGGCTCCGTGCAGCCACTTTGTCTGAGTGGCTTTGTGCTTTGTTCTCCTCACAATGGGTGATGAACAGGCTTCCCTCCCCCTCTTCCCTGATTTCTGTCATCCAGGGCTCTCTTCAGGCAGCTCTGGCCCTTCGCACTTTTTTCCTTTTTTACCCAAGCCCAGGTCCCCCCATTCCCGAGTCCTGACAGAGTCCTCACTTTAAGGATCCCTTCGCTTACCACTATGAGACTCAACCATGAAAAGATGCCCCTCCCAAAGTGGTAGCTTCCTCCTCTGAACTCCTGGTTTTGGGGGGCCCTCCATTAGCACATGGTCTAGTCCACGTGCTCATTTCATTTGAGAGTACCCCTGGACCCAAGTGGAGCCTTAAGCTCTATGGGCAAGAACTGAGGTCCAGCTCTCCTGTGCTATGACAATGTCCAATAGGAACAGGTACCTAAGACGTCACCTAAAGCACAGATGGGAACCCATGCATCTACACACACACACACACACACACACACACACACACACACACACACACACACCTTATAGAAGCCACTGGCTTACAATCTAGGGCACAGCTCTAGCCCAGAAGGCTTCCTGGATGCTAACACCAAACATATCTATTCTATACTAGGCCCAGGAAGCTCAGACCCACCGCATGGGTGGCAAGAAGCCGCTCCACTCTACTGCGCCATTTCACATCCATCTGGCTCACCATGGTCTCCAACCTTCAGAAGGTCTGGCCTTGATCTGATGCATAGGCCAAGAGCTCCAAGAGACCCCTGGCACAGGCAAGCCCCCATCATAGCCTACTATGGTGATGGCAGGACCAGAGAAAGGTGGAAATATACTCCTCCTCGGTATCCAGGGGATCCAGGGGGTTGCTGCTGGCTCCCTTTTATCCACGTCTCCTGCTTTTAATCATTTTTCATCCTAAACTGGGCCACAGTTGTGTGGCTAAAAGACCCAAATTGTTTCAAACAACAACCACTGTGAAAGCTACAGAATAGACTCCCGCCAAGGGAACTTGTGGTCTGGTATGCTCCTCACTCCTGCCTTATGCAAGGTATATTTGCCCTGCCACTCCACCCTTCTTGGCCCTCAGCAAGTCTCCTAACAACCTTTACCCTCACCACCCTGAGCCCTGGTCTCTACCAGAATAGATGACCTCTAAGAATATCCCGGACCAATTCTGATTAAATTATGGAGTCAGGGAGCTAGAGACACGGCTCAGCAGTTAGGGACACTTTTTTTTTTTCTCTTGCAGAGGTCCCAGGTTCAGCTCCCAGCACCCACATGGTAGCTCACAACCACCCATCACTCCAGTGACAGAGGAAAACAACCCCTTCTTCTAACCTCCAAGGGGCACCAGGCACACACATGGTGCACATAGATAGGCCTAGGTGTCCACTCATATGCATAAATAAAATAAATAAATCTAAAAAGAACATGAGCTTTCCAATGTGACAGTCCTAGAACAGAGTCCTGGCGGTCCTTCTCAGACTGTGACCATGAATATATATCCATTCTCTTGTTTAACTCAACTGTTAAATGGGGACATTGAGGCCACTTGCATTGTTCTGCAAGGACAGTGTGGACTCTGAGCAGGCTGACAAGGACAGATCCCTGACATGAGGCCACTTCATGTTCTCAGAGGCAGGAAATACCTTCCAAAAAATGCCAGATCAGAATGAGGGACAGGACTCTCTGCCTAGAGAAAGTCCCTGGTTTTCAGCCCCGACTTTCTCTGAGGCTTACTGTGTCACAGTGGAATTTCCCACTTGACTTCTTGGTCCCACAGTTCTGTTGCCTGAGGTAGTTACTCAATGCTTTGGAGGCTGAGCTTCTTCATCTGCAGGATGGGGACAGGATCTGTATCACGTGATGGTGTCAGAAGTAAATACAGGGGCTGCCAAGATGGCTCAGTGGAAAAAGCTACCTACTGCCTAGGCTGACGACCTAAGTTCAAACTCCAGGATCCACCACATAATGGAAGGCGAAAACCACCTCCCGCTGTCTTCATATGTGTGTACACATACACAGAAAAAAATGTAAGTGAGTAATTAAAAGAATTAAATGGCCAGGCATTGGAGGAACACGCCTTTAATCCCAGCACTCAGGAGGCAGAGCCAGGCGGATCTCTGTGAGTTCGAGGCCAGCCTGGTCTACAGAGTGAGTTCTAGGAAAGGCGCAAAGCTACACAGAGAAACTTTGTCTCGGGGAAAAAAAAACCCAAAAAAACAAACAACAAAAAAATATAAGTAAGCTTTGGGTTGTGGATTTAGCTCAGTGGTAGAGCAAGCACAAGGCCCTGGGTTCGATCCTCAGTTCCAGAAAAAGAAAAAAAAAAAAAAAAAGAATTAAATGGAGAGATGGCTTCGGATTACAATCTACTGCTGCTGCACAGGACCTGAATTCAGTACCCAGTGCTCATGTTGATCAGCTCACAACCTCTTGTAACTCCAGCTCCAGGGGAATCTAGTCTCCAGGGCACCTGTACTCATATACACATATCCACAACCTCACACACATAAAAAATAAATGTGCAATTTTTTTCAACCAAACTATTGATGGTGAGTGTTCGGTGGAGGGAAGTGCTTTTGCGTTGTGTTTTCTACTCTAGCTGAATTCCAGGGTTTGTGAGAGAGAGCAAGGGTGTGACTGAGGCTGTGCACGTCACAATTAACTCTAAGCAGCTTCCAGATAGCCTTGTGCTTACTTACAGGTAGGTGTCTGTGGGTGCTGAGGACTCATCAGGTGTAGAAGGACAGGGGTGGATACTACAGTGTGGGCTGAAGTGAGCAAAAGCCCAGGTGGCAGGTGGAGGACCTTCAGTCTGACGTGGAAACACTTCACTGTATTATGAAGTTTGGTGTAATAGATGTGGGGGTACAGAATAAAAGCTAATTGGGTCTGCAGGAAGAGGGTGGGATGGAATTGGGTGAGTTATAGTAGGCTGTTGGGGAGACAGCAATTGATTTAGATCTTAAGAAAACAGTAGCCGGGTATGGTGGCGCACACCTGTAATCCCAGCACTCCAGAGGCAGAGGCAGTGATATCTCTGTGGCCTCTGGGAGGCCAGCCTGGGCTACGAAGCAAGTTCCAGGATAGCTAGGGCTCTTACAAAGGGAAACCCTGTCTCAGAAAAAGAAAAAGAAAAAGAAAAAGAAAAGTAGAAATAAAGAAAAAAGTATAATTTTTTTTCATGTGTGGGTCTTTTGCTTGCATGTATGTCTGTGCACCAAATGCATGCCTGGTGCCATGGAAGCCAGAAGAGAATACCAAATCCCCTGGAACTGAAGTTATAGACAACTGTGAGCTGCCAGGTGGGTGCTGGGGATTGAACTCAGGACCTCTGGAACAGCAGCCAGTGCTCTTAACCTCTGAGCCATCTATCCAGCCCCCTAAAAGTATAATGTTTAAGAGTGAAGGGACCAGCAAGGGCAAAAACAAGTCACAGAAGTTTGGGGGACCTCTGGCCTTAGCTTCAGTGTGTTCTGATGCCTCAGATAGGAAACAAGAGGTGGA